CCCTGCATCTGCAACATGTAGAAGAGTCCTCCAACCTTCCCGGATGTCTCGCCTCAGGACGGAACCGCTCTACACTGCAAGATACTTGGCCCTGACCATCTAGTATTACTCAGAACACTGTATTCGGAGGAGTCAAGGAAACAGCTCTGACAAGAAATATTTCAACAACACTCAGGCGGGCCATTTGATGTCAGCACGAAAACCACAAAAATACCTTAGCTCGTAATGAGAAATCCAAATGCCACATCTGAATACGCAGCCCTGGCCATGGCCCCAGCCCACCTCAGAATGTACGGCCCCAGCACATGGCCCCGGGCCCACCTCGGAACACATGGTCCTGGTACACGGTCCTGGGCCCGCCTCAGAATACGTGGCCTTAGCATGTGGCTCTCGTCCCATGACCCACTTCTCTGAAGGAACTGCAAGACACTAGCGTTTCTGGGGCATGAGAAACAGCTGAAGAGGAGACGGAAGCCTCCTCCGTGAAGGGAACGCTGGTGCGATGGGGCGGGAAGGATGAGTGGGCACTGCCGTCGAAGGGCTGACCGTTGGCTGCTGGGCCACTCCTCGCCGCAGGCACAGGGACAGTTTCCCACTGGGCTTCTCACCCATGAGGGGGATGTCAGCACTTTCTCAGGGTCCTGGAGCATGAAATGAGGCAACAGGAACAGAACATGGCCAGGGGTCCAGCCCAGCACAGATGCCTGTGAACGCTCGGGGTGACTCCTCTCTGTGTGGGCTGCCCCTTGGTGCTTCAGGGAACTCTTGTTTTTTTAAAGCCAAAAGAGGCAGGCAAGGCCTGAACAGTCTCGAGTCCCTGTCTGCGTGGTGCTCTTGTTTATAACCTCATGCTGGCTGTTTTTGGTCTTGTTTATGTCATCAGCTCCTCTGCTCCTCTAACGTCCTTTCAGAGGAAGCCTTTCCACACTGTCCCACCCAGAACGTTCCGGACAGGAGCTGTGTGAATGTCTGCACATTTGCTGTAATAAAGTCCATCGGCAGGTAATTCACTTCCAATTTCTTTTATTAGGACTCAGCTTTGCAGAACAGTCTAAGTAAAATAAAGGAAAGAGATCACAGCAGTCCCCGCGTGCCCCAACTGTGTTTTCAGAGATGTTCGGCTGAGACTATGAACCAGCGTTTCCACGGGGAGCCGAGGCTTCCACGCTCCTGGGGACAGATGTACACAAGGCAGCCACGAGGCCAGTGAGGAGCACTCCACCCTCAAATGAGCCAGAGGCAGTTTTCCTCAGCGCGACCTTGGGTTGTGGCCTCCCCGCGAGCCTGCTGGCCATGCAGTAACTGTCATCCTAGACTCAAAGCCAGGTGGGCAGTGCAGCCCCACTGCCCTGACCATGCCACAGTCTGGCTGCCCCTCCCCACAAGGACAGGCCCTCCTCCTTGGGACTGGGTCTCCCTGCCTGACGGGGGCCTTCCCAGCTGCCTCTATTTTGTGGTGAAGTCAACAAACCTAAGAGATGCAGGGATGTGGACTTTAAAAGCATCTTAAGAGCTTCATAAATAAACTGCTGCCTATAAAGGCGAAGAAAAGCCCCTGGTTCCTTTGTTTTCTCAGAACACAGCCAAACGGATGCTTCTCATTCTCGTGGAATCAGGAAATTGCACTGAATAAGAATATAAGTGAACCAGAAAAAGAGAGAAAAGCATACAGGTATCTTTTAATACAAAAGTGAAAATCGTAGAAACTTTCTTCTAAGCTTCAAAGAAAGCAACTGAATTTCAGGAGTGGCCACGAGCCCAGACACTAGCTCTGAAAGCGGAACACTTTCCTGGAGCCGTGTGGCATCGCCCACGCCACGGCGAGCTCACGCTGCCCGGACGCTTCCAGCCAGCTACAAAGGGACCCTGTCTCCTGGAGGCACGATTAGGACGAATGGATGAAGTCCACTCCATATTCTCAACAGTGCCGAGCAGACGTTTATCGTTAAATAATTACATCAAAAACAACTCAAACACAGCCCAACAGTGTAGTGGCGTTTAAACCGACACAAGTAGGAATGACTATTTTTGTCTGTGCCATGACATCACAAAATCAGCTGCCAACATGCAGTGGGCCTTGCCTGGCAAGTGGGTTGCTTGCCTGGCAGCCTTGTCAGCGTAACAGATACCAGACTGGATCAGGAAAGGACCTGAG